GTACCCTCAGAGAGCTTACATTCTAGTTGGTGAAACAGACAAGATACTCAAAATACCATGAGCTGCTTTTATATTCATTTATTAGCAAATACTTATTGAGTCTGGTATGTTCAGGTCTGTTCTAGCCACTAGGAAATGGCAGTAAACAAAAATGTCTTTTTTCTCATGGAGCCTTATTCTACTGAGATGAGGCAAATAAATAAATATCAAGGGTACTTCAGAAAGTTTGGGGGAAAACAATTAAAACAATATGAATTTGTCCATGAATTTTTTGAAGTACTGTCACATGTAGGGCTGGCTACATAATATATGATGCCTGATGCAAAATGAAAATGCAGGGCCCCTGTTCCAGAAGCACAAAAAAAGCTTTTTTCTTTCCTCTGTGGTCTCTCCACAGGTCATGGTGCTTGTTATCTATTTAATGTCACACTCCCTTGGCCATGGGGATACTTGTTGAGTGAATATAGATCCTCAGAGGCACCCATAACTGCACCGTGCAACTCAGACTCACCCCACACTTGTGCTAAAAGAAGGTTGTCCAGGGAAGAATAAATAGTTCAATATGGGAAGACCATAGAATGCTCAAGAAGAAATGAGAGATCAGATAGAGTTACAGAGAGTGAGTTACTGTGCCTGCTCTCAAGGGGTTTACATTCCAGGTGAAAAGATTAAAAGAGCTACAATACAGAGCAAATTAAGAAATGAGCCATAGAAAAGTGTGGATAAAGTTCCCAGGTGTCACATAATTGATGGGACAATCCTGCTTTATGCCTGTTGTCCGAGCATAGTTATGAACAGCAGTCCCTTTCATTCTCTCAGAAGTGTCCTGGTGTGGATGGTAAATTATATACTCAACATACACTAGTGTTTCTCAACATTTTTTTCCCCATTATTGTCCGCTTAAGGAATCTTTTAGACCATTCTTTTTCCTAATTGCACCCCCATCACCATCCCATGAGATTTTAATACTAGAGATATACAGTACATCTGTTCGTGTGCTGAGGGCCACAAACCATTGAACCACAAACCATCTAAGATCTTTTCATCTCCCAGGAACCAATTTTGATATCACCCCATTGAGAACGATGCTCTACACAAATGACATAATAGCATTATCATCACTAACTCAGGAGCTGTGGTATGACTGAGAGGTTCGTAATGTTGACCATTTCTTCTTTGAAATTGTTAAATAAGCAGGAGGCCATTGGCCCCAGGCTGTCTCCATACTTTGGGTTCTTAGAAAGGAACTGTGAAGAATTGCAACCTAACTTAGTCCAAGAACAAACTGAAAACCTAACCAGAAGTACAGAAATATAATAAACAGCTGAATCTTAACCAATCACAAGCAGCCGAGCTTCAGCCAATCTCAGGCTGCCAACTAATCAGACCAAGTCCAAATAAGGCAGGAGCTGTAATCCATCAATATGTTTTTGTACCTCACTTCCCTTCTCTGTTTATGAATACTCCCTGCCCCAGTTGCAGAACTGCAGAACAGAGCAATCTAAATCGCTTTTGGTTCAGAGGATTGCCCAATCATTCTTTGTTCAATTAGACTCTGTTGATTTTAATTCATCTAAAGTTTTTCTTTTAACAAAATTTTCTCCTCTCATGGTTTTGCATTCTCCTATTTCTTTTCCTACCTTGTAGATTTTCCCCTCTGTCTCTTTCAAATGACTTTACTTTCTTTTCCTACTTCCTTAATAAGCTTCTTTTACAGGTCATGCTTTTTGGAAGCTCATGGAAGGGCCATGAGAAGGTTATCTGCAGTTTGGAAGTATCTATATTGAAAATGCAAAAGAACCAGATGTAGTAGAATGTTTCCTTTCCTTGGTGGTGTTCTTTCTGAGGTCTGGTATTCCAAGACAGGAATGCACACCAGGCATCTCAGAGAACTGTAACAACAGCTCAGTGACATTTAGGATACAGACACAGTTCAAATGACCAACCCTCTCTATGTGCATTTAGCACTCATTCTTCACAAGAGAAGACCTGATTGGGTCTATTTGTCACTGCCCCAGAGCATGGTTTTGTATCGTGTCACCTCAGAGGCAAGGGCCTTCCTCATGTTCATCCTATACGTATTGCCTTTCGCTTGAGCACCTACCCCTGGTCCAGTCAGGCATGGCCCAACTGGCAGAGAATTCATTTGGTGGTGATGGCAAATGCCACAACTCTAGGCGGAAAGAACGTTGAGGGTTTAGAGACACAGAAAGGGACCGAGGGTCTGGAAGCCACCTAAAGCTTCACAGCATCCTCTTCAGGGAAGTTCTGTCCTCAAGGTCTAATCTCTCCCCATGTTTTCTCCTTCCACAAACTCTTCCATTCTCTTGGGCAAAGAAATATAGGTTTGTGAAGATTCCGAAATCCCCGAACTGAGAAGTGCATTTTCTGCTTCAAGGTGTTCTCTGAATTGCAGAAGCCCAAGAGCAGGTGCAGCCCAGAAACACAGGGAAGTTGGTATCTCCAGGGTCAACACTCAACCAATGGGGTTTGAGAGAGGAGGATAAATGTCTTCAGCCTCCTGTTCGGACACAGTTCTGGAAAGTGTTCTGGAAGTTTCTTTGAGGTCCTGTTAGAGCTGATCTCCCCTTACTCAAGAATGACCTCAATTACACACCTTTAGTGGCTTTTCAGTCCTTTCTGTCTCACTCTCACCGCTTCCTCACTCTTACTTCCTGAGACTGCTTCTCAAATAAATTACCAGCACATCTTTGTCTCGGGCTCTCTTTTTCTGGGAACTGTAAGTCATGCATGGGATTCTGGGTTCCCAGGTCTCTGGTCTAGAAGATAGGTGGCAGGTAACAGGTGGGTATGTCCCCTTGGCTGTGCAGACTTCTTCCCTATAGGGTAGGGTATCACTAGAATAAGGCTAAAGTGGTCCTCTACAGAGCGGGGTCTAGGGCAACCCCAGATGCCCAGATTGAAGCGCAGCAATGACTAGAATATAAGCTCGTTAAGGGTGTGTCCTGGCTGGTTCACCTTCACAAACTCTGCAGGCAGTCAATACTCATAGCAAAAAGAATGAAAGTAATGTATGTTAAAGGATTTTTGTAAAACACATTTGTCCAACAAAGAAATGACATTTGGTTACTCTAAAGACAATTTTTTTTTTTTTTTTTTTTGCAGCTGGCCATTAAGGGGATCAGAAACCTTGACCTTGGTGTTATAATACCATGCTCTAACAAACTGACCTAACCAGCCAGCCCTTGGTTAGTCTAAAATGTTAGATGGTTACAAGATCCAAATTCAGGAGTACTTCTCAGAAGCTGCAAATATTTATTTGATTTCATACTTAATAACTTATATACCATATCTAGCTGCTACCATAAAATTGCAGAACTTGCAGGGTCTCAAGACATCTGAATGATATATAAGATAATTAAAGAATTTTATTGGTGAGAATATTGGTGGGAAAGCATTACATGCAAATAATATTTTAATAAAGTAAAATATCCTTCAGTTTTTCAACCAAGAACTATATCTAGTTATCCTTAAGTCAATAATGACAGTGTTCTTTAATACCTGGTATATTCATTTAATACAGTTATTGAGCATTTGTCATGTGTCAGGCACTGGGCTAGGCCTTGGTTATACCAAAATGTTTGGTTTAGTCCCTGCCATAGAAACAGGTTTGATATTGTAGGGATTAGGTCCAAGTAGGCAACTATAAAAGGAAGCAAGGTGCTATGATAAAACTGTACAGAGAATGTTGTAGAACCACAGAAGTGACCTGATCTGCTTATAGAGTGGGAGTGGGGAGGGGGAGGGGAAACGATTCCTGGAGAAAACACCTGAGCTGTCCAAAGGACGGGTAAGAGTTAGTCAGGGGAAGAAGAGCTGATCCTGATGGAGCAGAAGACAATCTGGCAGTCGATTAAGGCAAGGCTTCCCACGAATGTCACCGTCATGATTTCTGTCAAATCTATACGTATATCACCAGTGCAGTTACTTAATATTTTTCTTACATTTCGTGTGTTTTGTTTTGTTTTTTTAACTAACATACCTTCTTTAGCAGTATCTTGACCAATGCATGAGAAAGCCAAGAGATAATGTTCTAATTATATTTTTTCTAGTACATTTATTAAATATTTAATAAATTAAATATTTAATAAAACATTTATTAAATAGCTATCCATTTACCTTTTTAAAATGACCTCATGTACCATCAGTTGTATTGTATAACACCTCTAGGAAAAACTGAATTACTGGAACTCCATTCAATTCATCCCTTCCCCTGCGTCCATAAGAAGAAACAGGGGCTATAAATTCCTATTTTAGATGTTACTTTTTGTCTTTAGTAAAGTTATTATACTATAAAATAGTTCAAAGTACAAGATAATGATTTCCAAAATAATTGAAATCTCTGCGAATTATTTTAGCACTTTCAGGGGATGGGACCAGAGATTTTCCTCTGGTCATGAGCTAACATATTTTCCACCGTTTTGATTCAAAATTCATTCTGTTCTTTATCTTTTAAAAACCCTAAGGAAAAAAACAGATGAATTTTTAAAAGCTGGAAAACTAGGCGACAGTGGACGGAGAGAAGAAAGGGACCGAGTCCGCCCCGGAGTGCACAACTCCGGATGGATGCAGGCAGCATTCCCTCCCCCAGCCGCCAAATTGCCTCTATTTTTAAAGACAAACTTAGGCCAGATTTCCGCGGCGCCAAGAAAACGCATATCAAAGCGAGGGATCAAGACTTTCTAGGAAATAATTTCAAAAAGCCACGTTCAATACAGGACAGAAGAGGAAACAGCTCGGCACCCGACGCGTGGGACGGAGCGTTGACCAGGGCCCCGCCCCGGGCCCCGCCCCGGCTCGCTGCTCGGCGGAGCCGCCAGGGGTCGCTGCGCGCCGTGCGGACGAGGTCGGCCTCCTCTCCTATCTCCTCCCCTCCACTGCTCTGGCCCTCAGAACGGCGTTGGCGCCAAAATCAAACCCGCCCTAGGCCGCCCCTCTCCCTCGCCGCGCGCGCCGGCACCGCCACCGCCACCGCCACCGGGAAGCCCGCCGCCCGCGCCATGGTAAGAACTGAAGGCACAATCCCGGGTTCGTTTCTCTCTAGCCCCCCCGGCGGCCTGATGCCCCGGCCTGGCGTTGGCCGCTCCCCGGGCTGCAGGGGCGGGCGCCCGGCCCTCGGGCTCCCAGCCTGTGCAGGTCGGGGCGGCGCCGCTGCCAAGCCGCCCTTCCCCGCCGCACGCCCGGAGCGGGGAGCCGGGAGGCGCGGGGGCCTACGCGGCCTCCCTGCCCGTCGGCACCCGCCTCTGTCCCCCGGGCCCGGCCGGAGGGTTCTGTTAGAGCGCGGGGAGCGTTCGCGAGCGTGACCCGAGAATCCCACAACTCCGTTGTTTGTTAAAATGGCCACTGCCCCGACGCTTCGGGCTTCGGTCACGCGAGGGCCAGCCCCCTGTAGGTTTTGGAACGGTTCCAGATTGTCTCTTTGTGAGCTCAAGTCACTTCCATAAACCGTCCGAGTTCCATGCCACTTATTCTCTGCTTCTCTTGGCAGAGAATTCGCATCTCATTAAATGGACTAAGGCTTTCTTATCTTAATTTAGTTACGTGGCCGTTATTCTGCCGAGCTCCTGGTGAACAAGGATGTAGTTGTACCGTGTTTATTTGACTATACCTTGTCCATATGTGATTATAACTGATAACGGCCTCTTTGTGGTTAAACTAACACCCCAGCCACCTGGGCGTAAAATGGTGTAAGGATCCACACAGGACCACAGTTAAATTCTGTTACCAGTGCTCTGTGTTATCGTATTTCTCTTTATAGAATTGCTGGCCTAATATAGCTGACTACTGAGAACTACGTAGCACAAATGCATTACTTTTGTGCTCTTACCTAATGTCTCTTTACACGTGAATCAACTTTTTTTAAAAATGAAATATCAGTGTTTGTTATAGCAATATGCACATTGTCCCCCAAAAAGGAAACAAATGTTCAAAAATGGGAGAGTCCAACGTACAGATAAAGCCTTCACCTGACATTCACATCTGATATTAGTTTAATTTACTTTAAATAAATATGTTAGGTCTAATTTCTCTTTTGCCAATAATTCCTTACCCATATCAAACACTGACACAGTCAATCTATTATGTGTAACGACAAAGGCAATTTTTACTAACGAAATTTAAATGTAAAACGAAACGTAACATAATTCAGAGCTTGGTGAATAAACGCCCATTTTATTTCGCTTAAATACCATCTAATACTAAATGGTTTGATGTGCTGTTAACTGTTTTCAGATGCGTACTTCTGATAATGAGAAACCTAAAATAAATTGGAATAAAACTTTTTATAAGATGTGTAGTTTCTATTTTTTATAGTGTTATGTTGGTCAAAGATAAACTTTTGTTCTCTTTCCTGATTGTGAATTAATAGAAGTTTGTTTTGATTTGGTTGGATATATTGGGTAAACAGTTATAAGTCCAGGCGTATTTTTGAAATTGAAGAAGTGCAGTGCCCAACTCTGAAGGCCATAGATGGCATCTACTTTTTAATTTTCAAAATTTTATTGTAATTGATCAGGACTGACTTGAGGAATTCTGTAACTCCTAATTGGAGAAGGATCTTTAGATACATAATATTTTAAAGTGGTTTAAAATACTTTGGTCGACTAGGAAGCTTCATAGTCCTCAGGTCAAGTTTTGAGTCTCTTTACTTATAATTTGAATAATCTCTGTACTATCAGGAGGTTTTTTCTAGTCTTAAGTATTAAAGGAATCTTCGTTGATTTTTTTTTTTTTTTTCGGAGAAATTTCCAAACATGGATATAAATATGGCTTCTCTTCCATTAGTTATTCTAATTCTGGCCATGATAGTCTCCTACTGTGGTTAATAATAAAAGTTATTTTTAGTCATAAAAGAGAGTGATGAATGAATCAGCCTGGAAACAATGTAAGGGAATGATACAGCTCATCCACATCTCTTGAGTAACTTTCGTAGCTACTTAACTATGTATTGAGAGATTTTCTAAAACTGTGTGCCCCAGGACACTAGATTCTCTTCATTGACCTCCTCTGGGGACAGATTCTTGTGGAGGGCAACTGGCTTTCCAAGGGGCTGTTTATAATACCAAAATGTTAGGAGCCTTTTCTAAAACTTTGGGATTTGTTTTTTGCTGATGCAGCCACAAACTAAAGTCACAAAGGGATTCTCACTGTCCCACAGCACTCCTGACATGGCCTCCAGATTTTGGGCTGAGAAAAGCAGGGTTTTTAACCATGGGGGCACAATTAAAACACCTGGAGATTTTTAAAATATGCATGCCTAGGCCCCATCCCAGAGATTCTGGCTCAGTTAATATGAGATGTGCCTGGGCATCAGTATTTTTTAAAGCTCCTGAGATGATTCTAATATATGGCAGTTTGAGACCCATGGCCTGGAGAAATAAGCTGAAAGATCCTTCTAACTGCCTTTATTTATTCAGACATCTGCAGAGGTCAGAGGGAAAGGAGGCTAATAAAGCCGTACTGGACTGTAGCTCTTAGCCCTAGGTTTAGTGAACGGGTATATATGGTTTCCTGGAGCTTGCCTACCTGAGATTTCTCTGACTTATCTCTCCAAGCAAGGCAATACATGGGTATCACAGAATTCCCTATATTAATTCACCCTGTCTTGTATCCACGAGAGTGGGGTAGGTGTTGTGGGGCTTGGGAGCCTGAACAGCCTTAAACTTTAGAGTTGGGGGCTTTAATACATGGTCGTGAAGTTAAAGGCCACGCTTTATGTCTGTTCTAAGCTGGCACTAACCCCTGGGAAGGCAAAAGCAGTTCATGTTCTGAAGTTTTTCAGTCTGCTGAGAAAGACAATAAACACATCTTTTAAGTGCAGTAAGTGGTTTGATGAAGGTGTGTTCTAGGAACACATGCTTAGCTTGGGAACTCAGGGAAGTTCTCCTGGAGAGAGAATGCCTAAACTAAGCCTTGGGACATGTTTCAGAGTTTTGAGAAAGCAAGAAGAGAAGGTGTTTTAGGTAGAGAAACAACATTTTGTAAAAGGCATAGAAATGAGACATACTGCTTCAAGGAGAGAATTAGAAGTAGTTTTTGTATTACAGCTCAAGTTCCTTAACTTTCCATATTGTTATGATAAAATTTGAGGTGGGGAGTGGTAGAAGAGGCTATGAGAGGTAGGTTGGAGTCAGGAGATAGAGGGCCTTGTATATCATACTACTGGTGCTTGGATACTTATGGGTAGTTTGGAGCCACTGAAGGATTTTGAGCAAGGGAAAGGCCTGGTCAGATTTGCTTTTTCAAATGTGAACTTAGAGGGTGAGATAAGATGTAATTGGGGGATCACAGGAGACAAACAATGAAGGCTTGAACTGAGGTAATGGTAGTAGAGATGGTTAAGCACTGAAATTGGCAGACTTGGTGTTGGTTGTATGTGGGGGAGGAGAGAAGAAAGCCTGTAGGATGACTACCAGGCCTCTGGCTTGGGTAACAAGGTGGTATCTAACAGAGACTCAAGATCTAGAACAGCAGGTTAGGGGACTAGGTGTAAGGGGGGAAGAGTTCAGTTTAGACCACCTGAGTTTAAAGTCCGTCGAGCAGACAGGTAGATACATGAGATTGAAACTAAGGAACACACCCAGGGATGGATGTAAAGATTTGAGGTCTCGGCATAAGTGTTAATTAAAACCAAGAAAGCACATAAAATTAAAGAAAAGGGTGTTAGGCGATGGGTGGATTGATAACTGAACCCTAGGGAATAGTGTTTTAGAGTGGATAGAAGGAGAAAAGTAAATACAAACTTTGAGGCTAATTATTTACCCATGTGACTCATCAAGAAACACCTGGTAATTTTATCGCTGTAGAAGTGAGTTAGTGGGTTTCTAGTTTTGTAAGAAGAATTAAGACTCGTGTATTCTGGTATGTAGTGAGAATGGCAATTCCAAATTCCTTGCCCCATCTATTATAAGTTCACATTTTGTGATGGAGTTTTGGTTGGATAAGGTCAGTCTTTAATTGTTTTATATCTGCTTTTTAAGTAAGCAGTTAATGTTCCCTATGATCATATGCAATTTTTGAGAAAGATGCAGATCACTTAAGAGATGTTAGTGTGGAATCCTGTGTTAGGGACCTAGAGATGATGGTTCTCACTCTTTTCTGCAAATCTTTGGGTTGAAGAAATTTGGCTCTCTTTTTTTTAAAAAATTGAATTTTAGTTTTATGTATACTATATATAATATATAGTAAAATTTATTATAACTTATACATATCAGTTACATATTAATTATCTTAATTTCAGATTGGCTAAACAGTATTCCAGAATAATAGTAAACTGAGTAGGTTTCTATTTTCTACCTGGGTAGATTTTTCTTCCTCTAGCCTACCTTCCACATTACGGTTATAATTAATTTACTAAAATGTAACTCTAATCTTGTCATTCCCCTGCTTTAGAAATTACTTAGTAGTTCCGTCTTGTCTGGAATAAAGACCACTCTCCTGGGTTGGATAGTTAGCCTTCCACAATCTGGCCCCAGACAACCTTTCTCATCTCATCCTCTCTTCTCCCTGCGTACTCCATAAAATAACCATCCCAGAGTGCTTGTCTTTCTGGAGCATTCCGTGTACTTCCATTATATTGTGCCTGTGTGTGGTCTGCCAAGGACACGCTTCTCACCATTTCTCAACTTGCCAAAATCCTCTTCATCTCTAGCCTTCTAGATAACCTTTCTTTCTCCCCAGGGTGGAATTAGTTTATTCTATCCTGGGTATTTATGTAGCAATTTGAGCATGTAGCTGTTCATTAGTTATAAGTAATTGTGTCTATTTATTTTCTTTGAAGGATTGTAAACCTTTTGAGGGTAAATACAGTGGCTTATCATTAATTCGTTTTATAAATATTGAATTTCTACAAAATGCCAGTCTCTTTGTCAGTCACTATACTTATTATATTGGCAGCACCTACCACAAGGGTTTAGGCCTGGCTCTGAGATTATCAAACCTGGTGGTAACAGACAAGATTATGTATAAAATTTCAGATAATGTTTCAGACCAAGTTGTTTTAAAATGTGTTGTTTAAAAAAAGTACAGTGTTTACTTTTCTACTTTTGTGCTTTAGTCGAAGAAGAAAGGACTGAGTGCAGAAGAAAAGAGAGCTCGTATGATGGAAATATTTTTTGAAACAGTAAGTTGTTTTCCTTAAGATTTTTAGTATTTTGTGTAATTTTCATGTTAAGTATATGTCAAGAAGAAAAGAGAGCTCGTATGATGGAAATATTTTTTGAAACAGTAAGTTGTTTTCCTTAAGATTTTTAGTATTTTGCGTAATTTTCATGTTAAGTATATGTCATTCGATGTTAACTGTCCCTTCTTCATTAGAGATTAATATTGACCAGTTTCTTAAAGAATGAATAAGATTCTACAAACGTTTGTGGTTCCTGTGAGCTATGGAGTATGAAAGAACCATATCCCATTGTTGGTAGTCTCTTTTTGGGGGGCGGGGCGGGGGGAAAGTTGGTCGGTTCTGGAATCCAAACCCTTGACTTTGGTGGTGTTATCAGTACTGTGCTCTAACCAAGTGAGTGACTGGCCAGCCTGGTAGAGTCTCTTCTATCCAGACTGTTACATACTGGCACCAGATTATCTTTCTGAAGCACGTATTTGATTGTTTCTTCCCTTTTCTGCCTGAAAATAATAATGGATAATAGCTAACATCTAATGAGTGCTGCCTAGGTGACAATCACTGTTCCAACACTTGGTGAAGATTACGTTTTATCCATATATCAACTCTGTAAGGTAGGAACTATTGTTGTCATCCTCATTTTATAGATGAGAACACCTGAGACACAGAGTACCTAGGAAGCTGGTCCTGGGTCTCAAAAAATAGAAGTGATAGTACCAGGATTCAAACGAAGAAGGATCATCTGATTTTAGAGGGAGTAAAAAATACTGCTTCTTTGCATGTATAAATTTGTCTATAGTGTAACATACATATGATGCAGGCCTCCTTAATTTATTCCAGAAATTTGTGCCTGCCACTACAGGTTGAGCATCCCACATCTCAAAATCCAAGATCCAAATGCTCCAAAATCTGAAATTTGAGTGCCAACATGATGCTCAAAGGAAATGCTTTCTGGCGTATTTTGGATTTTCAGATTTGGGATACTCAACTGGTAGAATGCCAATATTCCAAAATCCAAAAAAATCTGAAATCCATCCAGTCCCAAGCTTTTTGGATAAGGGATGCTCAACCTGTAATGGAAAGTATGTTTAAGACTTCAACTCCTAAGTGGCAGAGCCAAGGTTCAAACCCAGGCACCTGGGTCTAGAGCCTACTCTCTTCACCATGTTGCTTGCTATACAGTGGCTTTTCTTTGCTTCCATGTCAAATAGACCTTTGAGCTAAAAAAAAAAAAAGAGAGAGAGAGAGAGAGAAAGAGAAAAATTAAGTCCGTGTGGCTTGGCAGGACCTTCGGAGCCTAGTCAGCCCCACCCTACTGGCTATTTTTATCATATACAAATGTGAGTAAGATGGGGAAAATGGTAAAATAATATTAAATTAATAAGATCCCTTTTCATTTTGATAAGGCAGATACTTAGTAAAACAAGCAAAATAAACTGGGGGTTTTTTGTTTTTTTTTTTTAAGTATTTGCCCTCTAAGTGTAATCTTACTGTTCCTAAAAGTCATTGGCAGTTCAGAACAGGGTATCATACTAATAATGATGATATGATTAGGATGATAAATTGATGAAGTTTGTATGTGAAAATTCTGACAATTTATTCTTCTGCTGAGTTGAAATATTTTTCTTATGGACTCCGCGCAAGAAAAGTAATTCCTGCTAGGCATAGAAAGCTGGGGAGAGGGGTTGGGGAAATTATTTTGTCCTTTACAATATTGCTAATTGTCTCAAGTATCAAAGTTGGCTGTTTCTGATTGAAAAATTTTCAACTCTGCCCTCATTTGAATACCATTAAGACATTAAAGACTATGATACTAATGAGTATTAGCAACTTAAAGAAGTTCAGTAATCAGTGAGTTTTTCTGTAAAGCTAGGAATAATTGTATTATTTATTGATTGATTTCAGTACATATATTCCTGTTTTTTCTACATTATAGTCTAATCAGTTGCTTCTCATTTATTTAATTAGTTCTTTGATGCAATTGAAGAATATAATTGATTTGGGAAAAGTAACAGAGACCATTTCATTTATTCTGTCATGAATGGGATATGGTATATACAGGATCCAGACTTAAGACAAAAGTTGATAAGTATTAGACATAAGCCCTTAAACAATTCAAAACAAATCAACACTATGGTGCAGAGTGAAAACCATTGATTCTGAAATTCAAATTCTGGAATTTGGATTCTAATTCCATTGTTTCAATTGGGAAGTAAAGATTCCAACAAAATCAAATATAGTCACTCCAGGGTTTGTTATATAGTTTGACTTTATTTAGATGTGAATAGTAGCTCCTTTTTAAAACACTAATGTCATGGGAAAGTGCTCATAATATAATGTTAAGTAGAAAACACAATATAAAAAAATGTAATGCAGAATGATCACAAATACAGTAGTAAGTGGATTTTTATTTTATGCTCTATTTTCTCAGTTGCCTACACTGAACATACATTACCTTTTTAATCAAATGAGAAAACCAACTAACAGAGCACCACATACTGTGTTGCCTGTAATCATAAGCAGGCCATCCATGAAGTTTTGAAAATTTTTTTGAAACACAATCATTGGTAATGTCAGCTTGTGAAGAGTAAGAACCTTCAGGCACAAAATAGTCCACCAATTAACATTTGTTGAGTTGTTCTAAAAATTACCTCAGCAAACACTTAAACGAGTAGCTCTTCATTGGCACACAAGTCTCTCTGGAATGACCATGCTTATACCCAGAGAATTTTATATAAATATATAAATGGAGAAAAAGAGACAGACATAATCATATATATGTATTGATACGTATGCATATAGATGTGCATGTGTGTTTGAAGAGCTAATGTAATAAAAAGATTTCTTTACCCATTGCACTCAGAAAGAACATGGGAACGGTACAGCTCAGTGATTGAGAACTTGCATCTAGAGCCTGTTTTTCCCGATAGCTTTGTAACCTTAAGCAAGTTACTTGGCCTCTCTACATCCCAGTTTCTTCGGTAATAAAAAGATTTCTTTACCCATTGCACTCAGAAAGAACATGGGAACGGTACAGCTCAGTAATTGAGAACTTGCATCTAGAGCCTGTTTTTCCCGATAGCTTTGTAACCTTAAGCAAGTTACTTGGCCTCTCTACATCCCAGTTTCTTTGTCTGTTAAAAAAGGATGATAATAATAGTACCGAGCTGAGTGTTGGTATGAGGATCAAATGTGATAATCTGTGTAAAGCATTAATGTAAAACATTACAATGCCTAGGTTTAAGTGCTTAATTAAATGTTAGCTAGTATTATAACTATGTGTTTTCCGTGGTATCTTACACATATATTTTTTTAAGAGCTAGAACCATTGTGTTCATCTCTCCTTTAATATCTCTGTTTAATGCTGAGGAGGCTAAGAACTAAAATTTACATGAGATCATTTGCTTTGTCCACTTAAGTGACCACACGAGTTCTGAGGCTAGTTCTTTGCAAGCCCATTTATTTATAAAGCAAACAACCCCACTGGGGCGGCCAGTATGTTGAGGGCTCTTCCTTGGTAATCACATACAAGTATAGGCAGATGCCTCAGTGAGTTCATGTTCTTTTTGTATGGAATCTAAAGCATTTGCAAAGAGGTTTGATTAATTCATTTTTCTAATGCATTAGGGGCCTAAAGTCAGTAGTTTATTATATGTTCCCTAAGATCCTAAAGTATTAATCTTTAAGCAATTTATTCCCAGGTGTGCAAAAATTGATCTCATACTCACCACATCCAATGACTTAGTATTTTCCTTATCTTACTAAATCTTAGGTGTAGTGAGATGAAATTTTTTCACCATTTTATTATGAAAATTTTCAAATATCAAATATACAGCACAGATGATGTAGCAGAGTTTTTCAGTGAATACCCATATGCCCACCACTGAGATTCTACCCTTAACATTTTACTCTACTTGCTTTATTATATATTCATCTATCCACTCCTTTATCCATCCATTGATTTTTTTGGGGGGGGGACACTTCAAAGCAGTTCTTTATATATATCCTGGGTTCCAGGCTTTTGTTGGGTCCATATTTTGCAAATATTTTCTTTTAGTTAGTGTTTGTCTTTTCAATTTCTTAACAGTGTCCTTGGATGAGCAGAAGTTTTTAATTTTTATGAAGTTTAATTTTTATCCAATTGAAGTTGCCTTTTCAAATTTATTTTGAAAGAAATGGACCAAGATTTCCATAACAATAATCACAGTATTTCTGTTCTAATTACCGAATACTTTAGTCTTTTCAAATAATTTCATTTTTGTTATCCAAGTTTTTTTTTTTTTTTAACCACTTCAAGTAAGGCTTATTACCAGTAGAAAGGAGTATTCTATGTAGATTGTTTTTCTGACCATAATATTAAATATTCTACATACATATCTTTCCATAATCTTTTGCTTTGCATATGGTGGACATGCAATATTTTAGGTGAGTAATTGATAGGAGGCAATGAATTGAATAATTTTCCTATTTAGGTATAGCTCTTCCATGAAACCACAAATGTAAAAACAGTCTGACAGTCTGTTTGCTTTTAGTTAGAACTGCTAACTCTGTAAAGTGTGATAATATGCTAAGCAAAGCACTGTTTGTGTTTTCTAAAATTCGAAGTGTCAGAGAAGCTAATTATTTCATGGTTCCAAGTAATCTGCCATAATAGTTTTTATTCTTCAGCGAGAAGATGTTCTTTAGGTTCTGACCTCTAAATGCTTTTTTGCTCATGCAAAAGTCTGCCCATTTTGAGTTCTATTGAGGGTATTGAATGAGATAATTGCAAAGTTTCTCCTAACTCCAATATACTTGTTCTGTTGCACTGTTCATTTCCAGACATAGGTTTGTTTTTGTTTTTTAAAAAGATGATTGGTAAGGGGATCTTAACCGTTGACTTGGTGTTGTCAGCATCACGCTCTCCCAAGTGAGCTAACCAGCCATCGCAATATAGGGATCCGAACCCGTGGCCTTGATGTTATCAGCACCACACTTTCCCAAGTGAGCCACAGGCTGGCCCTCAGACATAGTTTTTTAATACAATGTTTTATGAACATAATTCTGGTAAATATGGTATATAGTAGAGAACAATGCATGTTTTTCATCTTTTTTTTTTTAACCTTCTTAAACAGAAAGATGTATTTCAATTAAAAGAGTTGGAGAAGATTGCTCCCAAAGAGAAAGGCATTAGTAAGTATCGATGATATGCTTGAATATTTTGGGAAATATCTGTCATCTTTTCTGCCAACAGTCTTTCACGCTATGGAAAACAAATTTCTGGAGATGTATGAATGTATGTAAAGAATGTATGTAAAGAATGTATGTAAAAGTCCCTGTGTGATGTCTGTGGGGTGTGGCCACAATTCTTGTGTTTTGTGTGTGGAGCATCTGCTCTAGAAAAATTTAAAATGGAATACACATGTACACATACATATACATACACACAATATATACATTAATTTGTGAGTGTAATTCAAAAGAAGTAAAAGCTATTCATTTATGTTCTAGTATTTATTAAATGCAACTTCATATCTTTACATGTTGTATTAGTTTCCTAGGGCTGTCGTAAAAAATTATCACAAATGTGGTGGCTTAAAACAAGAGAAATTTATTTTCTGACAGTTCTGGAGGCCAGAAGTTTGAAATCAAGGTATTGGCAGGTGTATTAGTCCTTTTTGTGTTGCTAAAACAGAACACCTGAGACTGGGTAATTTATAAAGAACAGAGTTTTATTTGGCTCGCAGTTCTGGGACAGCTGCATCTGGCACGGGCCTCAGGGTGCTTCTACTCATGGTGGAAAGCAGCAGTCAGCCGGCAGGTACAAGCAAATCACATGGTGAGAGGAGCGAGAGAGAGAGAGAGAGAGAGAGAGAGAGGGAGAGGGAGAGGGAGAGGGAGAGGGAGGGAGAGGGAGAGAGAGAGAGAGAGGAGGTGCCAGGGTCTTTTAAACAACCATCTCTTGTGGGAATAGAGGGAGATCTCACTCAGGCTCCCCTCCCCCAGGGAGAGCAGTAATCCATTCATGAGAGATCCACCCCCATGACTCAAACAGTTCCCAGCACTGCCACAGTGGGGATCAGATTTCCACGTGAGTTTTGGCGAGGACAACACATGCAAACTCTATCAGCAGGATTGGTTCCTTATGGAGGTTCTGAAGGAGAATCCATTTCACACTTCTCTTCTAACTTCTGGTGGCTGCCAGCAGTGCTTGGCTTATAGACAACAGCACTCTGATCTCTGTCTTCGTCTTTACATGGCCTTCCCTTCTGTGTCAGTGTGTTTTCTCCCCTCTGTCTCTTAAAAGGACAAAAGTCATTGGATTTAGGACCCACCCTAAATTCAGGATGATCTCCTCTTGAGATCCTTAACTTAATTATTAATTACATCTGAAGGGGCGCTCGGACGAAGGAATCACGCGAGACCCGGGCTAACAGTTTGCCAGAGAAGTTCTGCTTTATTCAAGGACTGCGCGTACATGTATAGGGTGCTGTGCTCCGGGGTGGGAGAGAGTGGACGGGGCAGTAACTGATTGGACAGGGCTGGGCAGGAGGTGAGCCTTGACCTGTGAATGGCTGAGGTTTGGCGCGGGTGGGCTTGGGTGTTGGCACCAGTGAGCTTGTTTACTGTGGAGAAGAACCAGGAAGGGCGCCATATTGCCAGGGTGTGTCCCTGTTCAGGCACCCATGGGGTCCCTACATTCCTCCCTTTTTCCTCTATTGTGCGGAGTGGGTCGCCGTGATCTTCGAGCTACTTCCTGCTGGACGGGGGCGTAGTAGGGGAAGAGGAATTGGGGGAAGATTGGGGATTTTGTAACAGGACCCAAAAGAGGGTAGAGAATAAGATAATTTCGAAGAGGGAGAACTCTAGAAAGGTTCCCTGAAGCCACAGGTCGGTGATTTGTTGAGTCCAGTGTGTGTAGGAGGCTGTAGAGGAGAGCATCCAGGCGTCTGTGGCCAAAGCTTCCAGGAACAAGGACCATCGATGAGGAGGTCCATTTTAACAGCGGGTTAGCTGATCTGGTGGAGAACAGGCAGGATCCTCGGTGGCCAGGAGCTGGTAGTTTCTAAGTAAAAGCTGGTTAAAAGTTTGGTTAGAAATCCTTCCGAGTTGAGTTTGAATGAATTTTATAATGCTTGGTTTGATCAAAAAGAAAACATAGATATGGGGAACTGGCTTGAGGGATTAATTTACTCCCTGTAAGGGGAATGGTAACGAGACTTCAGCATCCAGCTGGAGAACAATCCCCTGTGGAAGGGAGTAGTGTGGTTTTACCTTGTTTACCTTGTTTTCCTGTAATAGTTTCTCGCACCGTGAACCGCCAAACGTAAGGGGACTTAGAAACACCTACTAGGCACAGTAAGCGAAACAGGATAATGTTAACGGGAGTGGTCATTGTTCCTGTAATGGAGGGAGACTTGGGAGTTGGGATAAACGGAGTTTGAGGGGGTTAGAGGGATTAGCAGTGCAGGCAAACGTTTCAGTTTTTTGAAAGGGTGTGTCTTGAACTTGCAGGGTACACGTAGGTTCTGTGGAATCTGCTGGTGAAGCCGAGAAGCAGGGTTTTAACCTAGAAATGTGGATACTTGGTTTTTTGGTAGGGAAAGCTTGGCAGCTGTGGGAGTGCAAAGAATGACTGGGCAAG